AACCGGGAGCTCTGCCCTCACCTCGGCACCACACGGGGTGTCCCCTTCCTCTGGGCTCAACCTGCCCTTGGTGTCCCCCCAGCCCCATCCCTCCACTGCTGGGTTCCCTAAACACCCCCAAAAAGGGGGCAGCAGGGGATGGCAGCCCCCCCTCACTGCGCAGGGGGAATTCACCCCGACCCCAGCCCCGGGGATCCCCAAACCCGGAGGATGGTACGAGGTCCCATACGTTGCCAGTGGTGGGTTCTCCTGGAGAGGGGGGACTCCAGCCTCAGCCCCAAGTGATGGGAGGAGAGGCGTGGAGCAGGGGTCCCGCCAAGGACACCTGGGGTCCCCTCGCCCCGAGGACGCTGTCCTCACCTGGTCGGCATCCTGCAGGCAGCAGGAGAAGGGGACGGAGCACCGCTCCCGGCTGGGGTTGGCAGCGGTGCAGTTGAAGTACATGTTCTGGGACCAGTCCTTGTAGGAGACGCCCCCACAGCAGCTGAACTGCGGGGAAGGGCACGGGGGGGCTCAGCGGGGACTTTTCATAGGCCCTACGTAAACACAAGCTCCAACAAAGACACTCACAGCAGGTGGCCCATGTCCCCCTGTCGTGTCCCCCTCCCATTCTTCTTCCAGCTCTCCCCAACCAGGGCTCCACCAAGAACATCAAACCCTCGTGGAGGAGCCTCCCAACTCCCTCAACGTGGAGGAGCCCCCCAACTCCCCCAACGTGGAGGAGCCCACGGATTTACAGCCAGAGCCAAGACCCCCAAGCCTGACCCACGAGTGGGGGACACGCCCTCGTCCCTCAGAAGGAGATCGTGGTCCCCCTCGCCCCTGGCGGCTGCCCCCGCCACGCACCTCCTTCTGCCCAAAGTCGATGAGGTTCTGCAGGTCCAGGTCATCCCGGTAATGCACGATGGCGCCGTTGATGATCTCGCTGACCTTCCCACGCGCCTGCGGGGTGGGGACATCAGCAAGGTTGTCACCCAACGGGGTCATCCAGCCCCCCCACCCCAACACCCGGCAGTACCTTATCGGAGAAGACGAAGCCCAGCACGCCAGCTGCCAGCTGCAGGAGGAAGACGATGGTGAGGCAGACGGAGAACTGCGGGCGAGACGAGTGTGATGGC